ATTTGGGGTGGGATTTTTTATAAAGAAAACATTTGCTAGTCTGGTGATAGATTTTGAGGCAGTCACAAGCAGATTATGTACAATAAGAATAAGAGGAAAATATAGAAAAATAACCCTTATAAATGTACATGCACCAACAAAAAATACAGATGAAGACGTTAAAGATAGCTTTTATAAACAATTAGAACATATGTTTTACAAAATACCATCATATAACATAAAAATAATTGTAGGAGATTAGAATGACAATATTGACAGGGAGGATGTATACAAACAAATAAAGGGGGAAAAAAGTAATCATAGAGACAGTAATCTGAATGGAAAAAGTGTAATAGAATTTGCTTTCGAACATAATATGCGAATTATAAGCACTTATTTTGATCACAAAGAGATTCATAAAAGTACCTGGGTATCACCCGATGGACAAACAGTAAACCAAATAGATCATTTACTAATAGAAGCCAAACATATGAGAGCCATAAAAGATAGCCGAAGTTACAGAGGTGCTGATGCAAATTCGGACCACTTTTTGGTCAAAGTTAAAATGGAGCAAATAATACCCACAATTAATAACACTAATTGTAAAAAAATAAAAAGATATACCGGTGCACTACTTCAGGAGGGAGAAGTTAAGAAAAAATTCAGGCAACAAATTGAAGAGAAACTGAAAAGCCAGACAACAATAAATGATATAGAAAGCAGATGGGTACAACTAGAAGAAAAAATTCAAGAAGCAGCTGACTCAGTATTATCAGGAAACAGACAATGTAAACAAACGGATAGGTATAATGAGGATTGTAAGAAAGCCATTAGTGACCGAAATAAAGCTAGAATAAATAGCATAATAAGAAACAATGAAGAGAGTAAAAAAGCTAATGTCGCAAAAAGACGCAAGCAAAGAAGATCTGTAGAAGGAAGAAGCGGTCAAGTTTAGAGCAGAAACTAGTTCGTATTGAACAAGATTTTTTACATAAATAAGTCAGGAATTTCTACCAAGAAATAAAATAAAAGACCGAACCCAGTACAAAATGAACAATTCATTTCGTATGAACGTCTGGGTCTCGCTCATCAATGAACGAGACCCAGACGACCAAGATGAAAGAGAACAAACGCAACTACAACATGAAGAAGCAAGGGACCCAGATGTAAATAAAGAAGTACCTACCAAGGAAGAAATTATAGAGATCATAAAAAACTTAAAAAACAACAAAGCACCTGGTAAAAATCTTATCATTGCTGAGTTTCTAAAAGAAGGTGGCGAAATGGTGCAAGAAGAAATCGCTGAGTTAATACGCGAAGTGTGGATCAAAGAAAAAATACCCAATCAGTGGAAAGAAGCAATCCTATGTCCACTGCATAAAAAAAAGTTACAGAATGTAAAAATTACAGGGGAATAGCTCTACTAGATACAGTGTATAAGATTCTGGCCATATCAATTAGAAATAAAATTAAAACAAAAGTTGAAAATTGTCTAGGTGAATATTAAACAGGTTGCAGAGCAAACAGATCGGTAATAGACCAAATTTTTACAATGAAATAAATTTTAGCTAGCTCATATGAATTTAACCTAACATTACATATGCTATTTATTGATTTTAGACAGGCATATGATACTATAAAAAGAAATAAAGTATATGAAGCACTAGAATATTTTGAATTTCCACCAAAAATAGTAAGACTGACTAAATGCATACTCAATTATACTAAAAGTAAAGTCATGTTAAAAGGACGGGTTTCGGATAGCTTTATCAACAATAGAGGTCTGCGATAAGGTGACCCGTTATCAACAGATTTTTTCAATTTGATCTTAGAGAAGATTTTATGATGTTACCTTAATAACAAGGAGACGTGCAGAATTAAGAGAAATCTTTACTAGAATAGGGAGAATAGCCAGGAAATATGGTTTAGAAATAAACGAAGAAAAAACAAAATATATGGCTATGAGGGGAAACGAAAATCATCTAGGGCAGTCCTGTAAGATACAAAGCCCAAGTAAACAATAAAACTTTAAAGTTGTTAGCCAATTCGATTACTTGGGAGTGACACTAACAAGTAGGAACGAAGAGAACCAAGAAATCATAAAAAGAATGCCAAATTTAGTAAGAGTGCTGGGAGCGTCACTAAGATACTAAGGTCGAAGATAATATCCAGAACAGCAAAAAAACAAATATATACAACAGTTATCCGACCTCTATGCTAGCGAGACCTGGACACTAAATAAAGATATGGAAGTAAAATTAGATAGATGGGAACAAAAAATTTTTAGAAGGATATACGGAGGTGTAAAAGAGGGGAACATCTGGCGAAGAAGAACGAATGAAGAAATAATGCAAATATATGGGCAACCAAAAATAACAAGACTCGCTAAAATTCAAAGATTAAGATGGCTCGAACATATAGCAAGAATGAAGAAAGAAAGAATTCCCAATGAATTAATAAACACGGAGGCTGGTACAAAAAGAAAAGAGTCCTCCCCCGAAGAAATGGCTGTAGTCGGCAAAAGAAGATCTGAAGTCGCTGCGGGTACAAGATTGGAAAAACTTACCGCAAGATAGAAAGAAATTAAAGAAAACCGTTAAAGCCTTGGGCCTTTGAGGCCTGTTGAGCTGAACTACATGTACAATTTTAAAACAATTCATTTTGGGGCAAAGAAGTAATAAAATCAAATACCGACAATTAAATTTTGTATAAGATACGGCTAATTAAAAATGTTTGAATTTATTACCTTGGCTTAAAAATGGCAATAAATTCAAAAAAAGTGAGATAGGGTAGCTTTTTCTTACTCAATGTTCCTTAGATTGCACTAAAGAAACTTCATACTTTGTCCAGAAAATTTTTATATTTTTTTACTTATAAAAAACACTTTACTTTTAACGTATTTTAAGAATTAAAATTGGAAAATTTATGGCCTTAGGAATATTTTAAAATTATAAACAATTTTTTGGTTTATAGGCATAAAGAATATCTTCGTTACTTAAAAAAACGGCATTCGAAAAGAGTTGGCGGGACGCTTTAAAAAAAATTAAATTAAAAGCAGTGGTTCCTGAGACACAACCGGTCAAAATTGATCGGTGACCATCTGAGTTATAACAATAGGAAGATAATCTTTAAACCAATAGATTATTCTTTCGAATATCTCTAAAATATTTATAACATATAATAATAAAACCAACGATATTACACGTTTAAAATTGCATGTGAAAAATACCAAAGAAAATAGGTTGCATAAAATTTAATTTTTAAGTTCAAAGTCGGTGGTATACGTAAATAAAGTATTTTCTTCTGATACAGCGATTTTTTTACTGTTTTTGAAGCGGGTTTAACTTAAATAAAGACACCTAAAGAACGCATCGCCAAATTCCAAAGATGCTTTAGTTTTGTTATAAATTATTTAATTTATTTATACGCCACTGGTCAAAGTCGAAAATGCCACTAAACTCTAAAATTAATACGTACGACCTGAACTTTACTACCAAAGTTTATTACTTTTCCCCCGGCTTCCCTCTAAAACCACCCCCCTCGTAGGAGAAAAAACCCTAAAAAATCGATTTAGACAAAATTTTTTATCAGAACTTTTTTGCAAAATAAACCGTTGTCTCAGAAACAACCCTTGAAGTGACATGCGAATATCAGCTGCGTGCACCAAATCAATTATTAATAAAATTGGTATCAATTCGACAGAAAAATTTCTATATCTTTTGATCAGAAATCAGAAACTTTTTTAAGTAATTTTAAAGTGTTAAATAATTTAATCTTGCGCTATTTTTGTCATGTCAAAATTTGTTACTTTTAGACGATATTGAGTGAAATTTAGAGCTGAAGTTGTGTAGTTTAGAAATAAATACACGTGCAATTAATAAGAAGCAGTTTTAAACTGTTTTAGATCTTTTTTGTTGTGAATGTTTAAATTTTGCGTTTTTAGGCATTTTTCAAATACACCTGATCACATTTGTTTCCAAAAATCAAAACCTTTGTTTCATTTCATAGATTTTGAAAAAAATATTTTGACAATAGAAATCTCAGGGTGACAGGTTAATGAAAGTGAAATTTTAATGATCACATGAGAATTTAAAAAAAAGCCAAAAATTGCGAAACTTTCATTTATTTAACACATTTAGAGAAACCCACTTTAATTGCGGCAAAATTCCTCCTTTCAATAATTTTTTGAACTTTGGCCGATAGGACACTTTGATCGGAAGATATCAGAAACAAATTGATAAGAAAAAACGTTGTTTCTGAAAGAACGGTTTATTTATACAGCGTATAAATTCTTGGTAAATCGACTTGGCCGTTTTTCTCTCCAGCGAGGGTGATGGTTTTACAGGGAAGAACTCTTTTACCCCCTTTTTTTTGGGTTTCCAAAATTAATTATTCGATTTAAATTTAAAAGTACGTAAGATAGGTAAAGTGCCTTTCTATCAATAAAACAAACTTTTATATAGTCAAGTTTTTGTTGTGGAAGATTAATGTGTACAAATTTTTTTTTTTAATTTGACTGCAAAATTATTGTTCGAAATATATTAATTAAATTTTACTGATATTTAGTTTTTTGTTTAACTAGATTACGTTGATGTTCTAGACGAATTATCAAAGACCCAAGTGCAGTGCTTGTTTCCTCATCTTTTTTTCTATTTTTAGTTCTTTTGATGCAATAGTAATAAATTCAAATTTTGTTTAATTGGCCAAATTTTAAAGAAAATATAATTTTTGCTGTTGTCTTTTGTTACGATTTTGCTCCAAAATGAATTCTTTTAAAATTATAAGCATGAAAGCAGTAAAAAAAACGATGTTTCTAGTAATTTTCAAATATTTAAATTTTTTTGTTAATGTTTTTAACCTATTTGAGAGAAATTATGTCAATTTCTATTACTAAAGCTATTATACAACTTTACTGCAAAAATCCGAATGTCACCTCTTACATCCAAATTTAGTGGTTTTTTCATATATTCGCACTGGTCTATTTGCATTTAAATTGTTTTAACTTAATTGTATATTTTCAGATGACCTGGTACCATGTATGAAGATATTTGAACAATTTGATATATCCTTTGGATACCTTAAGTGTATAGTAACTACATCTAAAAGAACTAACGATACTGTAACAATTCCTGACTCGCTTGAAACATACTGTTCGTAAGTAATAAAATATTGCGTTAAGATAATATTAATAAGATATATAAAACAGAGGCCAACAAAAAAAATTATAAAACTTTTCTTACATATTTATGTGGATCCTATGTATTTTTTTTGACGCTAAAAAAATAATCTGACATAAGATACTGCGTATCATCTACAGATTTTTCACAATGTGGCCCTGGTTTATTCTACATTATAATAGTTTAAAAAAAGACAAAAATACCGAAATGCATTAAAATGATGCACTATTAAAATAAAACCTATTATCGAATTCTAATCTTGTAATAGTATAGGTCTGTACAACCATTTCAGAAGTCAAAGCTTTTGAATTTTATTTGTCTTTTTCTTGTTAAACTTCTCAAGAAGCTATTTCTCTTATACGTCTCTTCAACGTCCCTGGTATCGTTTCTCAATCACCTTGACATCCTGGTGAAATCATTCGCTTTGTTTTTTACTGATATTACCCAGATTTTCAAGGAAAAAGTAAAGATTGTTATGCAAAAAGTGGATTTTAAGGCTTAATAAAAATCCCAAATCTAAACTTTCCACTGGTATAAGCTTTCCACTTTCAAGTAGTTAAAACATTCTCCATCTTTAGGCAGAGCATTGATAAACTCTTTCATTGAGATTATTTTAATGTGTAGAGGTGAAAGAAGGATCTTTTTTAGATCTATATTATTATCATTTAACCCGGATATATCCACTGCTGGATATGTCTCCCTCAGTCTTTTTCATGTATTTCTGTTTTGTGCTGTTTGCATCCAATTTTTGTCGATCCGTTTTATGTCATCAGACCATCTTGTTGGTGGACGATCTCTACTTCGATGTGCTTCTTGTCTCGGTCTCCACTGTATTATTCGCTGTGTCGATCTGTTATCGGACATTCTAGCTATGTGCCCCGCCCAGGATAGTATACCCCTAAACTACACCCCCATGAAAAAATCATTCTACTAAAAACCAAAAAAACCCTTACACCCCTCACCCCACACAAAAAAAAATCAACACCAACACCACATACTCCCAACCAACACCCATACATAAACCCCCAACCAACAATACACTACCATTCACATAATCACTATACTAATAATACCACAACACACACTAAACCTACACCACCACATCATACCAAACTACCTATAACCACACATATTAATAACAAAAAAATTTAACTCACCCATCACATAACCAACAACATTCCACCAAAACCTAATCAAAACCCAATACAACCCCATACAACATATACACTACTCTCTTAACCATCTCACTCCCTATCTTAAAAATCACAAACCCCATTCACACCTCTCTCAATCCACCACCACACAAAAACAAAAACCAAAACACACTCAAACAAACTCACTACCCACCCACCCCACATACAACCTAACCACATAAAATCACCACCAACCCTCTTCCAATCCCCCACATAAAACCTAACCAAAACAACAACCCCCCCCTATACCCACCAAACACTCACTCCCACAATCATCACCCCAAAACCACCCCACTCCCACACAACACCCCCCACATCCTAACCCCCAAATCCTAAAACAACCTCACCCCACCCCACTCCATCCCACCACCCCCTATACATCTCACTCCCCCAAATCCCCCCCCCCACACCCTCCCCAAATACTCCACCCCCCACCACTCACATCCCTACCCCCCCCCATCCACCCTCCCAAACCCCCAAACACTTTCATAAACCCCCCCCACCCCCCCCCACAAACTACCCAAAACCCCACTACACACCCAACCCCCCACCCACCCCCCCCCAACTCCACCCCAACACCCCCACCCCCCTCCCACCCCCTCACAAAACCCAACCCCACAACAACACCCACCCAACAACAACCCACCAACCCCCCCCCCACCACCCCCCCCCCCCCAACCAACCCACCCAACCCCACCCCCCACCCCCCTTCCACCCACACACCACCCACACACCAACCCCCCCCCCCCCCCCCCCACCCCCCCCCACCCCCCCCCCCCCCCCCCCCCCCCCCCCCCCCCCCCCCCACACCAAAGATTATAATAACACAAACAGCCTCCCAATACCTAAACTTTGGGTAAAATTTTGATTGTGATGGGGGGGAGATAACTACACACGTCTCGCTGCCTACACCCTTGCCCTTCCCTGTACATTTAGGAAGATAATGGGAAAGGATCTATAGGAAGAAGAAGGCATTCATGTTGAAAAACTTGAGAGAATGGTACAATTGCACCAATTACCAACTGTTTAGATCTGCAGCATCAAAAATACGCATAGCTTTGATGATAGCCAAACTTCGGAACGAAGACGGCACTTGAAGAAGATGTAAGTAAATCAAGTAAATTGTAAACACCACGTTTTTACGTCAAAAATATCTGACTTGTTAACATTAAAACGTCACGTTTTGACGTACAGCGTGACCTTTTGACGTAACGCGTGGCGTTTTGCCGTGACGTGTGATGGTCGCGCATCCACCAAAAAAGCGTCAAAATGACCAAAATTTACCTAGCGATTACTTTTAAGATTTAACATGAGGAAATAGCCAGAAGTGGTACTGCCCTTTTACTTACTTAAATACATTAGTTTACCTTAATAATTATTGTTTAATAAAGAAAAAAATGGATAAATTATCAGACTTATTTTATCGTCAATATCTTTTGCAACGAAAGTTAGAAAGCTCCGATTAATTTATAATTTTGTCGTTGGAAATACTTTGACCAACGTAAACCTAAAAACTTAAAAACGCAAAGTTAAAAGCGTAGTCCAATACTACGCTTTTTTTTAAATTGCATATAAAAAATTTCGTGAACTGAATTCGTGATAGAGCGTGAGAAAAAAAAAATAATATACAATTACAATTGCAGTGAAAATATAAATATTTTATTTAAATGTTTTGCTAAACTTTATATTTATTAATAATAACAAATGTTTGTATTTCAGACGATTTTTGCCTGGTATACACTGTCTAACTGATATTCTTGATAAAGAATGTACCCAGTATCCAAAAGTAAAAAAATATAGTGAAGATTATCTTCAAGCGAATAAATACCCATGTGAGCAGAAATACGAATAAATTTTTTATTGTTAATATCGATATTCACCGCTTAAGTTTTATTTATGAGAATCAGACTAATAACTAGTTTTTATTGTATATTGAGTTATAAATAAATCTTAATCTTAACCAAGTTCTGTTCATAATTTTTTATTTTTGTTTATTTTCGTGTTTCTCGTTTATATATCCTATATATATAATATATATATATATATATATATATTATATATATATATATATATACATAATAATTGCCTTATAGTTGCCTTTAAAAATTTACAAAAATAGGAATCGTTTAAATCTTAACGTGGTTTGGTGACGTGACAATAAAAATGTATTACAAAATTTGGAGACTCTCTACAAGTACCTAAAAACTAAATAAATATTGCAACTTTATAAAGTGTTTAAATGAACTATAAAGAAAAAGAAAATGAACACTTTACTCCGCTGACTTGCACTCAAATATAATCAAAATTTCAAATAATCTCCAAAATTATTGTCCAACCTCACTTTAAAACAGTTCTGATTTCTTTAAAGGAAACTAACTACTCAAAAATAATCGGTGAAAAATGGAATATCAATCCTCTCTTCGGAAGTTAAGGTACGTACTATTCTATTTTTAATTTATTGATCATTAATATTTTCAATTTTTAAGGCCTATTGCAATTATGTTAATTCATGAATTTTAATTTTCTCAATTTAAATGACATTTCTATACTTCAATAATAATTTATAAGTCAAATGGTTTCTCTTACTCACTGAAACAAATTCTGAGTATCTCTGCTGTGGAAAAAACTATATTTTGATTAAACGATTTGAAAACACTCTCGGACTATCCACAGTTTTCGGGGCTCCTCTCCAAAAATTATCGTCGGCGTCTTCTCCAAAAAAACCAATTCCTCTTATTATCCGTTGCTAACAGCAACCAACGTACTTTTTTTTCTGTCTTCTATTTAAATATTTTAAACCATACAACTGTCCTGTTTGACATATTTGTCAAGCCACATTACTTTCTCGTAATCACTTTAATCACATCTAATTTGGGAATTTATAAAAAAAAATGTTTAGATATAAAACTTATTCTATTACAATACTAATTTATTCTTTTCATCTCCACATCATTGTAATTTCTTATTTAACAAAACCCCTATTAATTTAGCTCAAACAGACTGTCAAATAAACTGTCAAGCAGTTTATTTTCTGACGTTTATTAAAATTTCTATGTTTAAATATTTTTTTAAAATTCTTCTTTTTTGTTCTTTTTTAAGGTTTAGACGATTCACCTATACACTAGGCAACTATACTATTCAGAAATTATTAACACTATATCAGATAAGTCAAAATTAATTTATTTAACAATTTACTAATCTTTTCTCTCTTTTACTTCAGAGTCGAACCCACATTGTGATGGCTTCATGAAATTCATAAACAACAAACTCATATAAAAATCCATTTAAGTTGTATATTTTTTAACATATTGAAATCATTTCAACTTCTCCATAATTTGGATTTTGTTCAGTGCTAACTATCAGCACTTACTAAATCTAAATTCTTACCGGTAAACTTAAATATTTTATTATTATTAACATAACAATAAACTGACTTTTATTAATAAGCATATCTCTTGAATATTTTTTTTATAATTTACTCTATGACAAATACAAAATTCTTCAAACAAAATCTATAAATCTTTCACTAATTATATCAACTTTAGAATCAAATTTCCAAGTACTTTCCCAATTTCTTTACTTCTTTTCCTGTACTATTTATTTCTTGTACTATTTTCGTAAAAATTCTTATAATTGTTCCCCTCTTTATTTTATATTTTTATTTATTTATTTATTTCCGCATATACTATTTCAGTATCTTTATTCATTGCCGCATTATTATTTATTCTTTTTATATCCGCATATAATATTCATTTCATCATCTCTACATATAACTCTCTATATTTCATATTTCAATATTTCATATAATTCTATTTTTCATCTTATTTCCGCATATACTATTTATCATTATAATATTCCCTATTTCCCAATTTCTACAAAATATCGATTTGTCCATAGTTCTTTGCTTATTTATTTATACTTGTAACTCCTATAAATCTACTTGAAAATAAATCAACCTTTTTGTTTATATAAATTCATCATTATTCTGTACATCTGTTCCTAATAAATTATTTAATTATCAAATTTATCTCAAGATATGCTTATTTATTAATTATCCTT